TAATGGAGACCCATCTCACCCACAATGACACCCACAGGCTCAAAATAAAGGGATGGAGAAAAATCACCATGCAAATGGAAATAAGAGAAAAGTAGAGGTTATAACCCTAATTTCAGACAAAATAGACTTTAAACCAACAAAGATTTAAAAAGACAAAGAAGGACATTACATAATGGTAAAGGGTTCAATCCAACAAGAAGACCTAACTGTCCTAAATATATATGCATCCAACACAGGAGCACCCAAATTCATAAAGCATGTTCTTAGAGACCTACAAAGAGACTTAGTCTCCCACACAGTAACAATTGGAAACTTCAACACTCCCCTGACAGTATGAGACAGAACACTGAGGCAGAAAATTAACAAAGATATTTAGGACCTGAACTCAACATTGGACCAAATGGATCTAATAAACCTCTACAGAACTCTCCATCCCAAAACAACAGACAATATATTCTCCTTGCCACATGGCACCTACTCTAAAACTGACCACACAATCGGACATAAAATGATCCTCAGCAAATGCAAAAGAACAGAAATCATACAAAACACACTCTTGGACCACAGTGCAATAACAATAGAAGTCAAGACTAAAACAATCACTCAAAACCATGCAATTACATGGAAACTAAACCACCTGCTCCTGAATGACTTTCAGTAAATAATGAAATTAAGGCAGAAGCCAAGAGGTTCTTTGAAACTAATGAGACAAAGATAAAAACAGAAGAATATCTGGGACACAGCTAAGGCTGTGGTTAAGAGGGAAATACATAGCACTAAATGCCTATATCAGTTAAGTTAGATCTCAAATTAACAACTTAACATCATAACTGAAAAAAATTAGAGAAGCAAGAGCAAAGCACAAACCATTCAAAAGATCAATGAATCTAGGAGCTGGTTATTTTAAAAAATTAATAAGATAATCTGCTAGTAGACTAATAAAGAAAAAATGGAGACAATTCAAATAAACACAATTAGAAATGACAAAGGGGATGTTACCACTGACCCGACAGAAACAAAAATAAGCATCAGAGGCCAGGCACAGTGGCTCACACCTGTAATCCCAGCACTTTGGGAGGCCAAGGTGGGCAGATCACGAGGTCAGGAGATTGAGATCACCCTGGTTAACACAGTGAAACCCTATCTCTACTAAAAATACAAAAAATTAGCTGGATGTGTGCAGATGCCTATAGTCCCAGCTACTCAGGAAGCTGAGGCAGGAGAATGGCATGAATTTGGGAGGCGGAGCTTGCAGTGAGCTGAAATTGCCACTGCACTCCAGCCTGGGCAACAGAGTGGGACTCCATCTCAAAAAAATAAAAAAATAAAAAAGTAAGCATCAGAAACTACTATGAACATCTCTATGCACACAAACTAGAAAACCTTGAAGAGATGGATAAATTCCTGGACACATATGCCCTCTCAAGACTGAATGAGGAAGAAATTGATTCCCTGAGCAGACCAGTAATGAACTCCAAAATTGAGTCAATAATAAAAAGCCTGCCAAGCAGCCAGGCACAGTGGCTCATGCCTATAATCCAGATACTTTGGGAGGCCGAGGCGGGCAGATCACAAGGTCAAAAGATTGAGACCATCCTGGCCAACGTGGTGAAACCGCATCTCTACTAAAATACAAGAATTAGCTGGGCATGGTGGCGTGCACCTGTAGTGAGCTGAGACCGTGCCACTGCACTCCAGCCTGGGCAACAAGAGCAAGACTCTGTCTCAAAAAAAAAAAGAAAGAAAAAAAAAGCCTACCATCCAAAAAAAACCCAGGACCACACAGACAAATTCTACCACATGTACAAAGAAGAGCAGATATCATTCCTACTGAAACTATTCCAAAAAATCGAGGAAGAGGGACTCCGCCTCAACTCATTCTATGAGGCCCATATCATCCTGATTCCAAAACCTGGAAGAGACAACAAAAAAGGAAACTTCACGCCAATATCTTTGACGAACATTGATGCAAAAATCCTCAACAAAATACTTGCAAGCCAAATCCAGCAGCACATCAAAAAGCTAATACACTATGATCAAGTAGGCTTCCTCCCTGGATGCAAGGCTGGTTCAATATATGCAAATCAATAAATGTGATTCATCACATAAACAGAACTAAGGACAAAAACCACATAATTTTCTAAATAGATGAAGAAAAGGCTCTTGATAAAATTCAACATTCATTCATGTTAAAAAAAAAAAAACTCTCAATAAACTAGGTACTGAAGGAATATACCTAAAAATAGTAAAAGCCATCTATGACAGACCCACAGCCAACATCAATGAATGGGGAAAAGCTGGAAATGTTCCCTTTGAAAACCAGCACAAGATAAGGATGCCCTCTCTCACTACTCCTATTCAACATAGTACTGGAAGTCCTGGTCAAAGCAATCAGGCAGGAGAAAGAAATAAAGGGCATCCAAGTAGGAAGCGAGAAAGACAAACTATCCTTGTTTGCAGATGACCTGATCCTATATCTGGAAAACCCCATAGTCTTGGCCCAAAAGCCCCTCCAGCTGATAAACAACTTCAGCAAAGTTTCAGGATACAAAATCAATCTACACAAATAACTAGCATTTTTATACACCAACAACAGCCCAAGCCAAGGGCCAAATCAGGAACACAATCCCATTCACAACTGCTACAAAAAGAATAAAATACCTAGGAATACAGCTAACCAAGTAGGTGAAAGAGATCTACAAAGAGAATTACAAAACACTACTCACAGAAATCAGAAATGACACAAATAAATGGGAAAACATTCCATCCTCATGGATAAGAATAATGAACATCATTAAAATGGCCATACTGCCCAAAGCAATTTATACATTAAATACTACTCCTATCAAACTATGAATGACATTCTTCACAGAACTAGAAAAAACTATTTTAAAATTCATATGGAACCAAAAAAGAGCCCAAATAGCCAAGGCACTCCTAAGCAAAAAGAACAAAGCTGGAAGTCTCACATTACCCAACTTCAAACTGTACTCAGGGCAACAACAACCAAAACAGCATGGTATCGGTACAAAAACAGACACATAGGCCAATGGAACAGAACACAGAGCCCAGAAATAAGGCTGCACACCTACAACCATCTGATCTTTGACAAAGCTGTCAAAAACAAACAATGGGGAAAGGACTCCCTTCCTATTCAATAAGTGGTGCTAGGATAACTGGTAAGCTGTATGCAGAAGACTGAACTGGACCCTTTTCATACACCATATACAAAAACCAATTCAAGATGGATTAAAGACTTAAATGTAAAATGCAAAAATATAAAAACCCTGGAACACAACCTAGGCAATACCATTTGGGATATAGGAATGGGCAAAGGTTTCATGACAATGATGCCAAAAGCAATGTCAACAAAAGGAAAAACTGACAAATGGGATCTAATTAAACTTAAGAACTTCTGCATAGCAAAAGAAATTATCAACAGAGTAAAGAAATAACCTATAGAACGGGAAAAATTGCAAACTATGCATCTGTACAAAGGTCTAATATCCGGCATCTTAAGGAACTTAGATTTACAAATAAAAAAAAAAAAAACTACCTCATTAAAATGTGGGCAAAGGACATGAACAAACATGTTTCAAAAGGAGACATATATGAGGCCAACAAGCATATATATAAAAAAGCTCAATATCACTGATCATTAGAGAAATGGCAATCAAAACTACAATGAGATATCATCTCACATCAGTCAGAATGGCTGTTATTAAAAAGTTAAAACATAATAGATGCCGCAAGGTTGCAGAGAAAAGGGAACACACACACTGTTAGTGGGAGTGTAAATTAGTTCAAATATTGTGGAAAGCAGTGTGGTGATTCCTCAAAGAGCTAAAAACAGAACCACCATTTGACTCAGCAATCCCATCATAGGGTATATAGCCAAAGGAATAAAAATCATTCTACCATAAAGACACATGCACACGTACGGTCATCACAGCACTATTCACAATAACAAAGACATGGAATCCACCTAAATGCTCATCAATGGTAGACTGGATAAAGAAAATGTTTTACATATACAGCCATAATAAAGAACAAGATCATGTGTTTTGCAGGAACATGGATGGAGCTGGAAGCCTAGTAAACTAACAAAGGAACAGAAAACCAAATATAGCATGTTCTCACTTATAAGTAGGAGCTAAATGATGAGAATTCATGGACACAAAGAAGGGAACAACAGACACTGGGGCCTACCTGAGGGTGGACAGTGGGAGGAGGGAGAGGATCAGGAAAAATAACTATTGGGTACTAGGCCTAGTACCTGGGTCATGAAATAATCTGTACAACAAATCCCCATGATACGAGTTTATCTATGTAACACTCCTGCACAGATAACACTGAATCTAAAATAAAAGTTTTTTAAAAAAGAAAAAAATATTTTCTAAAAATTCTTAAGTGGGCTTCAACTTCTCATGGTACCTATTAAAATTTTGATAATAAACATTGCTTAGGGTACCTATATAATACTTATCAATAAATGAATTTGAAGTGTAATTCATTGGAAAAAAAATAAAATCTTTTTACTACGGTAAAAGTCAACATAACAAAGTTTTAGAATTCACGACATTGAAAAACAAGCTAAACGAAAACAACAATCTATACTGATTAATATTTCATTTACTGTTGCTCAAAGTTAGACAACAGTAGGTTCAAATAGCCATTGGATTCTTAAAATCTTTAGTAAAACAAAATACATGGGAATAATATTAGTGATTAATCCATACAGTAAGCAGATTCATTAAGTTAGCATTATTTTGCTTTCATAGAATATTTTTCTTCTTAAGAAAACATAAAAATAAAATTTTACATTGGTTCTTGTCAAAATCCAATTAATAACCAAATAATTATTTCTAAGTGCAACTTATTTCTAAGTGCAATAAGCCCTTAACTTAAGGGCTTACTGAAACAAAGCCACTGTAAAAGAGCTTTTCAAGAAGTTACAATACAATGGGAAAATAAATCGGTCCATATATTTTGGCAAAAGGTGAACAAAGCTAATCAAATTCAGGAGAAAAAACTCTGAATAATTATGAACTACCTTTTAAAAATAAAAAGCGTGCTTTGTGATTAGGTGTCTTTATTCTTTCTCTTATTAATATAAAAAGTATTTGTTTGTTTTAGAAAATACCATCAAATATTCCCAATAAAGACTTCATTTCATCAGCTTCATCATCAGGATGATACATATTGGGAGAAAGAAGAAAAAGTAAAAATAACTATTTTTTAATACAATTTATTTTAAAATACACAATAAATAATAATCCAATAAAATAAACGAAGATTTCTGTGAAGTTAATGTATCAAATAAACTTCAGTATGCATAACTCTGTAGGAAGTCTGTTGGGGAAAATTAGACTTCATAAACTGCAAATGGTAGGAACTGTAAAGGCATTTCTTTAAACATATTGAAAAGTTATGTCATTTAATAAATATGTGAACAGCCTGGTCCAAGGGAAGTGGTGTTTACAACTAATTGATCACAACCAGTTACAAATTTCTTTGTTTTTTCTGCACTCCCACTGCTTCACTTGACTAGTCTTAAACAAATAAAAACAAAACACTGTGAACAGGTCTCAAATCTTTTGACTCTTCAAGGAGACAGAAACTGCAACACAGTTTCCTTTTCTAAAATGGCCAGCAGTGGGGCAACCAATGAGATTTAATCTGACATTTTCATTGAACCTGTTGATTGTGAAATAACTGGTTAACTAAAATACAACTTCAAGTTTTGAAAAACTAGCTGATCTCATCTGGATATCAATGACTTTACACTTTACAAAATTAACATACTGTATTCAAATCAGTAGAAGTAAGTTTATCAAGTCAATATAATGTTTGAATAAACAGCATTAAATATATGGGTTTTTAAGAACTGAGGTATACGATATTTGAAACATCTTAAGGAGCTTAGCTCACTGAGGCTTGAAAATTTTAATGTCTTTAATAAATAAAATATTCAGGCTCTAATCTTTAAAATGAACCAAGGAAAAAGGAAGGCTGAATTTCTTTGTAAAAAGTTTTTTATTGATACAATCTTAAAGTGTCTTTAAAGAGTTCTTACCTGAAATCAACTTCCTTTTTACATTCACTGTTTCTAATTTAAAAAATCCACTTTTTTATAATTTGAAGAATTTGTTTTTTTTTTTTCAGAGCAAGTAAAGCATAGCTTCTCAATCTCTGGTGACAGATTTTGTAGTTTTTTCTTGAAAATGGTCCTACATTTGAGATAAAAAATAACAATCATTGAAAGTTTAAGCACTTGGGCAAAATATAAAAGAAAAACAAAGAAGTGCTTCTTCTTACTAGAACTGCATTTCTGGCTTGTTGAGGTAATTTTGTCATGGAGGATGCACTGAACCTGGGCATAGCAGAATTTGATAAAGAAGTATCTGACATCTCATGTGATGAAACAAAATTAAAAATTAAAATTAATTATTTGTAAAATATGTCAAGAAAAACAAACCATTCTAATTTGGATCATAATGATTTTTGGGGAATATGATCAAAGTTTATCACATTTATCACAAAATACTAATGGAGAACTTGGTATATTTCCTTTCCTTTAGACCAAACCATAATTTATATATCCCAAATTAGGAAAAAATACTATTTTTAAGGGACTATAGAAATAATTATTCAACAATTTTCTTTAAAATTGAGTCTAATGCTTAATTGTCTATTACATAGAACCCTATAAACATTTTCTAAATTCCACTTGCTTAACTTTTAATCTCCTTTCTCTATTCTGGTCTCACTGTAGACATCTCCAGTTATCTTCTTAGATATAACTCTATGCAAGAATTTACTCTGAACCTTCTGTATTAACTCATTCACTAAAACACATTTATTCTTCATTACCCTATGCCAGATATTATACTAGAAGCTGAGTATGAAGTAATAAAATGTCAGGGAGTTACCATGAAGCAGACAATGAATAAAAGCAAATATATACATAATTATAGATTCTGTAATTATAAAAAGAAAATGAACTGGGTAACAGCATAACAAATAATGGTGTGGAGCCATAAACCCATTTTTAAAAGATGATCATCAATGCATCTCTGATGAGGTAACCATTTAAGTTGACACCTGAAGGATAAAATATAACAGCCATGTAAGGAGCAATGAGCAGTGTGGGTGGGGACAGGGAAGAACCACATATACTGATAGGATTGGATCATTTTGTCTCTGACTAATAAATATATACACATGGCAAGGAATAAAAAAGTAAAAAGTGTATAAAAGAAAAAGCAGGCCAAGCACAGTGGCTCACACCTGTAATCCCAGCATTTTGGGAGGTTGAGGTGCAAGGACAGCTTGAGTCCAGGAGTTTGAGACCAGCTTAGTAAACATAGCAAGACCTCCGTCTCTAGAAAAAACAAATTTTTTTTAATTAGCCAGGCATAGTGGTGTGTATGTACCTGTAGTCCCAGCTACTTGAGAGGCTGAGGTGGGAGGATCTTCAGCCCAAGAGGTTGAGGCTGCAGTGAGCCATAATTATGCCACTGTACTCTAACTTAAAAAAATAAAAAAGCAAATCTCCTTTCCATCCCAAATCCTCAGGTCCCACAGGCCTTTTCTCCAGCAGCAACTTCTACACCAGGTTCTCAGAGGCTTCTTGTTAGAATCCATTTTTAAACCCACACATCTTCTGTTGGTCACTTCTAAACTCTTCCAAAATTATTTGTTGTTTTTTAAAGGTGTGGTGCACAAAACTGTTCATGTGCCTTGTTACCTTCCTTCTTATGATTTATTTACTTTTTGCTTCTCTATACCTACAACTTTGTCTCACTTGGATGCTTATATCTGTTTATTCTATGTGACTCAGAGTTATAACCAATGAAACAAAGTGATAAAAAGACATATTTTAAGCAAATGTTTTGAAAAGCTATTCAATGATCTAAGAATCCTAACATGGAACAAGGGTGGATGAGCTCCTGGTCACTAGAACTGTCTTGGTAGAGGTGGCACGACTACTTGCCAGTGATGTTGAATGGTGATTCAAGGATCCAGTGATAGGGAGACTAAACAATGCTTAAGACCCCCACTTAGCTCTGGAATTCTGTGAAAACTATGAGTCTGTGATGCTGATGCTAATGATAAGTAATGGCTAAATAACAGCAAAAATTCCAAGGGATACCACAAACTTAGTATTTTTTTAAAGCAGAGAAATAAATAATCCTTAAGTAGAAAATCAGACCCTGAATAAAAAGCTGTTGGTATTTCTTCTGTTTTGAAAATTTTGGCTTTGGCCATAATTTCTCTCCCTTGACTTCTAATCAAGTCCAATATTTCCCAATGCGTTTTGCATTTTTTGTAAAGACACTTCAAATTAAACATTTATAAAATTATATTTTCTATTCTAAATCTCTTGTTTCCTATATCCTTAAATAACATCTACCTAGGTGCCATTTATTCTTCCCTCTTCCTCAACTATCATATCCTATCAATTGCCACATTGAATCTGCTCTATTTCTGAAATGTTTTAAAAATCCAACCCTACCTCTCTGTTCCTATCACTTCTGCCCTAGTTTAGGCCTCATTATAGTCTGTCTTTCTCATTGGCCACCATGCCTCTGGCAGTCCCACGCCCTGCGATTCACTCTGCATACTGCTGCTAGGATGATTTTTTAAATCAAATTGTTTTTCCTGTGCTTAAATATTTTGGATGGTTCCTCACTGCCTACCATACAGGTAAAAACTAGAGGGCCCTAGAACACATCTGGCCTACAGATATTATTATTATTTGGAGGAGGGTGCCGCAGAGTACATCACATTTTTTTAATTAGTTGTCAAAATTTAAAAATAATAAAATATCACACAAAATTTCAGATTCCTAGCTTTTCTTGAAAAATCAGAATATTTTGTAACACTGGACTCACATTGCCTGTGTAGTAACCAACTGTTTGGAGCTGAGTAGTGGCTGCTTCCTTTAGATGGGACACTCTGCAGTTGGCCTTGGCCCACCAAATCTTGAATGTATCTGGGTTTGCGATCCCTGACTGTCTGGGTACAGGACAGGTGTCTAAGCGCAGCACTCAAAGCCCTTACAATAAGACCTCAGCAACAGACTTTATGCTGTGACCACACATACTACACTTTACTGATCTCTGAGCATGGGATGCCTTTTCAAGCCTTAACCCTTTACAGATGCTTTCCTATACCTGGAATGCCTATCTGCCTCTGTTCTAGTTGTCAAACTCCTATTCAGTTTTCAAGTCTTGTTAAAAGTGAAGGTTCCTGGGCTCCAGTCCCAGAGACAAAAATTCAGTAGGTCTAATGTGGGGCTCAAGAATGTGCATTTTTAATATGCATCAAAAGTGATTTTGATGCAGGTGGTTTCACAACAGCACTTTGAGAAACACACCTCTAAGATTAAGAGGGTTTATGTTGGCTAATACCTTTTAGCATCTCTGACATCTAATACCTTGATCTCCATCTCCAACTATGTGTCAAGAGGATATAATGTTGTATGTATTACAAACCAAAGTTCTAAAACTTGCCTGTTTGACATTTCTCTTTGGAATTTGCTCTTTGACTCTTGAAGGGGTAGCTTACTTCCCCTGGTACTTGAACTCAAAGTGTTTCCAAATCCTATGTGAAGAGATAACATTTTGAAACAAAATGCCAAGACACAGCTGAATGAAGCTTTTCACAAGTTCTACAATGCTCTCTCCAACAGATATGATCTGGTTAAGGAAGGAATGAATAATTCTCAATCACCTAATTTAATTTGCATAGAAAAATTAGGGGCACAAAGCTAAGGGAGTAAAACTATAAAACATATAGGTTAGCTTATTAGTAACTATATTGAAAGGTCCTCAATCCACCTGTGTTGTTGTAAAACACATATTTGGTCTTTGACCCCTGTTTCTAACTCTACTGGGTTGGAAGACACCCAGCTGGTATTCACTGTGGAACTGCTTGCTTAGTGTGTGGGGAAAAAAACCCACAGACATTTGGTCACAGATGTCTTCTGGCCTGATCATAGTGTGAGAAAGAGGAAAAACAGTTTGTGCTTTTCCACTCATCCTCATTATTTATATACTTACATTTTCATTCACATAAATGATCAAGTTGAAGTTCACTCAGTATTTTCAGTGGTCTGTTCATAATCATTTAAAGTGTTCTATACATGAGGGAAAATGTCATTTATTGAGACTGATTTTTCCAGTGACAAAGCTATGCCCTCTTAGGACTAGGCTACCTCGAAGGATCAGTACACTTTGCCTATTAACTTACAGTATCCAATGACATTTAAACTCGAGGTAGGGAACAGTAGTTGTCCAGTGATATACAAAATTGTGCCTAATGACCCCACATCATGGAGATTGTCCTGGACCATTCTGTGAAGGTGGTCAAATCCTGTTCTTTTCAGAAGCAGTATTAGTTCTCCAGGTAATTCTAAGGCCCCCGAAACAGTAACATTTCAACTTCTAACTGCTTCCCTTTGAAATATTCTTTTAAAAACATGAGGTGGGTTATAGTAAGAGGTATCTATAATTGTGGGAATACCAGTCTGCACTGAGAAGGCTGAGGGACTGATTTCTTTCTGTCAGCCCTAATGGGAGACAGTATCTCCATTGCTATCTTGTCATATGCTTGCCAAGATTTTTAATTCTCTGTTTTAGTGACATACAGTAAATTTGCCTTTCACTCAAAAAGCGAATAAGCCTCATTATTTTGGGGTTGTATATGACTTAAATAGAATTTCTAGTATAGGACAAACTAATCCTTTCTTTCCTATTTACTTATTTATTTACTTCAAGCTGAAAAGTCCATATTTCAACTAGAAATAAAAGTTATTTTCTTTGCAAGCAGATGAATAGTTTTAAAAATGGATTTTTTTGTCCTTCACAAATATTAGCAGACCATTTGAATCCTTCTTTCTTCCTATTTACTATTTATTTACTCAAGCTGCAAAACCATAGTATTTCAACTAGGTAAATAAAAGTTATTTTCTTTTGAAAGCATGATGAATAGTTTTAAAAATTGATTTTTGTCCTTCAATATTAATAGAAGGGAGGCATCATTTGTATCTTTGCTAAGTGGAGTTGTAATGAATTGTTCCATGAGAGAAAAATTGAATAAACAATTTGAATTGACTTTATGAGATAGGTTACTAGAATAGAAAGGCCATTTTGTTGTATTTATCATCATGGAACAACCTTTCATCTCTTCCTTTTGGGGGAAATGTTCTGTGTAGAAGGTTTATTTTCAGTTTTGCCAAAATCACAATCTGAACAAACCAAATCTAATCAAATGCAAGGTCACTATTTTACAAAAAGAAACTAGTCTAGAGTTGAAAATGAAAGATCTATAAAAGAATTTAATTAGAATGCGATTCATGCTAAGTATGATTTTTTATCTGATATTTTGTCTTCTCTAGTATTTCAGTTATGTTATAACTTAAAGCTCATCAAAATCATCTCGAACTTTATCCAATTCAAAGTTCACATTCAAAACTTCTAGGTGAAAATAGAGAATTGCAATAACAGATGTGTAAATCGTCACTTTAGTTTCAGATATGTTAAGACTTCTGCTGAAGTTGTGTAACATCGTTTGAGAGACTTTCATTTGAAGTTGTAGAAATAGTTATAGCTAGAAAATCTTTGCTTCCGTGTATATGGTAAAGATTATAGGTACTTTGAAACCACAAGCATCGAGTCTATCAGATATATCAAACACATCTTTTCAACTACTAAACAGAGTTCTGGTAATAGTTTTCAAAGTACTAACAGTTTGTATGATGCTTAATACTGCATCTGAGCCAATTTTATTAACTATATAAGTTGCACTAAATTCTAAGCCATGAAATTTTTTAGGCAATTATTTTTCCTTCAATTTGTATATATTAAATAACTACCCAAAGATTGGATTGTAATAGTTTCTAAAATGGTCTTCCCTCCTCCATATCTTCCCAAAGATAATTTCTTTTCAGTGGACATATAAAGATATTTATCCAAAATAAATAATATTTACTTTTCCTGCTAAAAATCCTATATTCATTGTTTTACAAATGGATTGAGTTTCAACCAATTATGAAAATTCCACCTTTCTATTAGTTGATAGTCTGACAGTAATTCAAACTTCCTGATTCTGCAAAATACAACAACATTCACCTCAAAAAGCCTTTGTGAATGGGGACTAGCCTTTAGTTGCATGGTTTTACACAGTATTAAAATAACAATACAAAAACAATAGCCACTTACAAAAAGTGAGCAGTATATGTATACATGATATGTTTATTATAACCTTTACTGATGTGTATACAGCACACATATTAATTTATGTGGAATAATAACAAATATGATATGCTTAAATGCAAAATCTCCTACAGATCACCACAGACTCATTGAATAAGTTTCACAAGTTTGCCACTTTTTTTATTCCTGTGGTAGCCAACTATGGTTGCAAGGACAAAATGAATGGGCTCTTGTAGAATGTTGTTTATATTTTTGTTGACTCTAACAATAAGACATATGGCAAATCATAAAACAACAAGACATCTGCTGATTTAACCATTCACCATTGACTTAAGTAACTTCTTTCCCAACTAGGATAGTAATTTTCAAATACTAGAAGAATATTCTCTCAATTCTTTTAAAAGGTCTACTGTAATAAATAAATAACAACACACATTGAAGTCTTAACTTGTAAGCACCACAAAATTGTGGTCTCTCACTTGGAAGTTTTGAAAATAAAGCAAAACAATAACCAAACCAGATTGTAAAAAGCGTTTGCTGATTCCTGGTATATAAATTGTTCACACCTAACTGATTTCTGCTTATTAATGTAACATAATTTAATAAGAAATTGGGAAAAAAATGCATGACAGCGCACCATTATATAGTGACACATATTGACGCTGGGCGCCGCCAGAACTTACGAACACAGATAATGGAAGAAAATGCAGTAGAAATTAAATTAGAAAGCGATGAGCTTGTTATTTTTGCCTTTGTTTTTAACGATTTAATTTGAGTTTATGTAAATTAAATTTTTGTCAATATTGAAAGATTTTTGAAAATTAATAATCAACTCTCATAAGTCAGTATAAACTTGCTCCAGCATATCACTGAGTTTCCTCCACTTTAAGTATCCTCCATCAATTGATTTCTTCACCTGTCCAAACCCTTCTTTATTCTTCAACTGTACCTATAACTACAGTTCACATTATTCTACTTTTGTATGTTGATACGCACACACTGAGACACACAATGTACTAAAAATGGAAGTTTGTACAGAGTGCAATGGGAATGCAGAGGAAGGAGGATCTAAACCTGCAATGGAAGTGAGACATACTCTTCTAGGGGATACCACATGACAGACAGACTCCTGAGGTGATAGCATATGAAGGAAGAGTAGTTGGAATTTCAGCTTGATAGAGCTGTAGTTGTGAGGCAGGGCAAGAGGAAAGGGAACCTATGCCATGAAGGGAAAACACCATGTAAAAGACACAGCAATATGAGAGAACCGAGAATTTTGGGAGAACTGTAAGGTTTCAGGATTTCTGGAGCACAAAGTAGGAGAAGGCAGCATCCACTGTGTCTGCACAGGTAGTTAAATGCTAGATCATGTTGAAGCTTATTTGCCATATTGAGGAGATTTTTTGGTTTTGTTTTGTTTTTTTCTTACAGGCAAAGGATAACTATTGAAGATGTTTCAGCAGAAGGTTTACACAACCAGATATGTCTGTTAGATCACCTGGAATATTATGGATTGAAGGATAATGAGACTGAAAGCAGAGAGAAAAGTAAGTTATTGCAGTAAATGAGAGACAATGAATGCTTAAGCTAGAGTATCAGCAGAAAGGATAGAGAGGAAATAACAAATATAAGAGATGTGCAGGAGGCAAAATAATTAAGATTTGGTGATTATTTACACGAGGGGTGAGCCATTTAGAAGGACACTTTTTCTGCCTTTAGCAGCTTAACAAAGAAAAGAGTTCATTCACTGAGCTAAGGAAAAAAGAGAAGGTGCAGAGTGAGGTACAAAGAAGACAGAGTTCAGATGCTGACATGTCTGATATGTTAACTGTTAGGTGGATATGTTCAGGAAGGTGATTATATAGATGAATTTGGAGTTAGATAGAAAGATCTAGATGGGAGATACAGACTTAGAAATTATCAAAACATAGTCATTAAAGACACAGGCTTGGGTGATATTGTATAGGAAAACTTTTTGAAGTGAGAAGAATAAAAAGAAAAAAGAATGCTTTTTCAACATCAACAGGAAGAAAAGCCCATGCAGCCTAAGAGGTAACAGGAGACCAATATAATGGTTTAATTGAAACCAAAGAGAGATTTCCAAAAGAAAGATCAGAAGTATCAACTACTACAGAGGTCAAAGAGAGTAACAGTTGAAAATAGTTCACTGAATTCAGAACTTAGAAAGTCACTAAATGGCCTGAACAAAAACAGTTTCAAAGGAGTTACACAGAGAAAACCCAAATTTTATTGAATAAAGAGGAACTAGGGTATAAGGAAGTGATGAGCATACTGAGTGTCAATTGCTCTTTCAATTAATTTTTGCTGTGATGAGAAAGCAAGAGATAGAGGATATGGGGACTCTAGAATTCTGGTTTTTGTCTGCCTGGTATGCTTTCCCTTCTTTTAGTGGGAGTACCCTCCCTTTCCTTTGAAGAAACGACTTCTACAATTCCACTGGATCCTAGTAAGGCCATTTTTCATGGTGCCCTGCCTTCTCTGGGGCCACAGGTATACAATGACCCAATCCTCAGGTTACTGGGATTGATCAAGTGATAAACACATGACTCAAATGAGGCCAGTTAGAATGAGTTCTGGTCTGCCAAACCTAACAGGGAAGTCTACCTTTTTCCACTGAGGTTGCTAAACTGCTAAGATGAAAGTTAGGGGCTACCTGCCATGTGAGAAACCCTATTTAAAAAGTAAATCCAAGTAGCAACAGGCATAGCTAAAAGATTGAGAGAAAGCCAGAGGCATGAGTGCCTTGATTTAGCCAGAATTAGGCCAGATACTTTTCAGTTTACTTGAGACAATTGGTTCCTTTTCTTGTGCTTAAGTCATTTTGAGTAGAATTGTTATCATTTATAATAAAAAAGTCGCAGTAGCTAGATGAGGACATGAAGCTGAAGAAGGAAGAGACTTCAGCGTATTTATATGTTAGGGAAGGAGCAGTGGAGAGGGAACAATGAAAATATGGGAAAGAGGGAGATGGATAATGATCTTTACTACAAGTCCCAGGGAAAGCAGGATTGGACAGAATTAAGATTACAGGAGGAGAGATATGCCTCGAGTGGAAGAAAAGATAATTTTTCTTTTAAGACAAATAGATGGTTACAGATGGATGCAGAGACAGGGAAATACATAGTTGAGGGAGGTGGGAGAAAAGCTGGAAAGAGCTCATATACTACTGGTTCAATTTTCAATTCTCCACTGATAACTAAAAGTCAATTTCATTTTTATGGAAATGGCATTGGGCTGGGATTCAAAAGACATGGAATCGATTTCTGGTCTTTCCATTAATTAGATATGAAATTTTGGGGCCAGTCATTTAATCTCTTGGAGTCTTGGCTTCTTTCACTATAAAATGAGAAACTGCACAAGGTCCTTCAATTTAAGTCTTATGATTCAACATGCTTTCTCCGCATAATTTTGACATTTTTTTCTTCTTCCCTTTGAAATTGGAATACAGAAGATAAAAAACTGCTATGCTTTTAAAAAACATTCTCAAAAGCAGTATTTGAATATATTTAAAGTATGTTTTGCCACCAAAGACTAATATGTGAAAAATATAATAAACATACTCAATTAATTATTACTAACAGTACCAGAAACTATAACAGCTTTTCATGCATTATCTCATTTAATCCGAAAGCCTAAAATATAACCAGATGAGGAATTTAGACAAAGTGATTAAGCAGATTATGAAAGGTTACTAAATGTCAGCTAGGACTTGGACAGATTGTTTCCCGAATCCTGTGAACTTAACTACTACACCATACAGCTCCTCCTTTAAAAAAAAAAAAAAAAAAAAGTAGCCCACTCAATAAAACAGGGATACAGTTATTGTGGGGGTTAAAGTATCTAGATGAGGCTTTAATATCATAATATAAATTGGATTTGGAATAGTGAGTGGGAAAGAAAAAAAAGAGAAACCATGTAAATAGAACACAAATGTAAGCAGAGGGAAGGATAGATAGCTCTTATTGTGCAGAAGGACAAGTAATAGAGTAGTAGGATAAGGAAGCAGTAAGTTAGAGGGCTACGTGTTGAACGAAGATAAATATAAGAAAGCTGACAATTTTGCTTACTTCTATCCACTTTGTAATGATATCCAGGCTTTGAATAAGTTGGATAAATGCTCTGATTCTCCAGGTGAGATTAGGAAACTTTTCTTGATGTCATTGTTGGGCCTAATAGCTGCCATGGTATAAGAGGTAGTGAATACTCCAGCCTCTGCCTCTGTAAAATCTTAAATTATGACTAGACGAAAAAGAAGTTACAACATGAAAAAAAAAATGGCAGCATGAAGAAAAAGAATGTCAGCAGAAACCAATGCCAAACACATGAGAAATGGTTTTCAGAAAACCCCAAGCTTACCATTTCTACATACAGCCACTTGAAGAAATAACTCAATGGATAGGACTGTCTCGTGTTTTAACAGACTGGCTATTAATAGCATTATTCAGGGAAATTATGCCCTATTAATTGCAGGAACCAGAGTAATGATGAACCAGGCAGTGTCAAATTTATATGCATTATCTCATTAATTTAATGACAGACACAAATAAAAAAGCAAATCTAGATTACAAACTAGCTATATGCCACAACCTAAGTTATATTCTCATACTAACATAGAGTGTAAGAATCATAGGTTTTAAGAATTGGAGAGATATTAAAGGTCACCCGGTTCAATACCTTCATCTTAAAGATAAGACTAAAGCCCAAAGAGATTAAATAACTTACCCAAGGTCACACTGATATTTTGTAAAACTGGACTAGTTTTATAAACATAAAATTTTAGTTCGTATCCACTTTGTAATGATATCCAGGCTTTGAATAAGTTGGATAAATACTCTGATTCTCCTAGTTTTATAAACATACAATTATTTTAAATAATTCTAATGATCTGAGAACATAATCATTCAGTATGTTAATACTTTATATACCCAAGGATACCTTATTTGCTCAGATTTTCCTCATAGTATCTTTAAATTAAAAATAGCATTATGTGGAAAAGAGATTTTTTAAAAATGTATGACAAACAGAGTAAGACCATTTGAATAACAGACCCAAGAATTTGAAAATGATTCAGTAATCTAAGAGAAAAATGTTGCCAAGTTAATAATTATAATAATTTCAGATACTGGTGTTTCAATAACACTACTTCTCAATTCAAAGTAATAATAAGCCATTTACTCTCTCAAGTAAGTATCAGTGGTAATCTACCTTTGTCTTGATATTCAGATGGTTCTTGTCTAACTTTTCCATAGATTTCAGGCTGATCCCACTGCTCCATTATAGGTAATTCAGATATGTTTAAATATTCTGACCTTTATAAAGATAAAACAATAAAAATGTTAAAAAATGAAAATCTAAGCCTGAAAACTATTTATTCATATAAATAAAAATAATGATTTATCCATTTAATACTTCTATGATAAACTGGACCCTGCCTGGGTAGCAAATAAATAGGTGTTTAATGGAAGTGACCAATACTTAGTCATCTTTACACCAGGGCAGCTGTTAACAAAACTTGCGTCTAGAAGTACTGCTGGCATCCGTTCTGATGAGTCAGTTCCTGTTCTGTACTAGTTGTTAAATATATTGAATGTCATTTCTGCATATAAAATACCCTTATCTAGAAGGGAAATTACATATATGATTGTCCTGTAGGCATCAGGATACAGGAAAAGAATACTGAGTTACCACCTAATGCCTTCTGCTTGCTAACTAGGAGCGTGAACTTCCAGTTTTTCCATCTAAACAATGGGGAAAAAATACACTCATTTTATGGCCATGTTGTTGTTTAAGTCAGAAATATAATGCACAAATGTTTGCAATTTTCATATTATAAATCTGAGATATTATTAGCATGGACTGAGCTTCTAAATGGAAAGGTTAGACTTTGTAATACTTATGATTTCCATTTTTTAAAGTATATTCTTGTCACTTAGTTTATATTCCTATAAAGAGAGAGAACCTAAGGAATGTCATAGGAAGTAGTTTCCTGAGAAGAGATGATTTCATAGTGTTATTTCATAACTGTAGAGTTCTAAATAAATTTTAGGGTATTAAAGATAATGGAAACCATTATGATGTTATTGCTTCATTATGGAACTAAATGTTTCTTGACTTAATAGTAGCCAGTAGATTATCTTTCCTGAATAGAGTGGTTACCTGCAGGAACAGAGTTTATGATAAATATTTTACCTTAGATATTAACATTATATTATACCTGCGATATACTAGGAAGGGAAGGTTTTGGAGTAAGAAACCAAACTCTTTAAGGTCACACTTTGAGATTTATTCATCTGTATCTATTAAAGAAACAAAAATAAGTTCAACTAGCAGTTTCACATCAAAAACTTTAACAAATGAGCCAAACAACAAAACTCCTGCTGGTACATAAAGTCCCCAAATCAATGAATTAGGAGAAACTCAGGTTAGTTCTTGACTTGAATATTTCACTCAGTGCCTTCTTAAATGTTGGCCTTTTTTTTTTTTTTTTTTTTTTTTTGAGATGGAGTTTTATTCTTTCACCTAGGCCGGACTGCAGTGGTATAATCTCAGCTCACTGCAACCTCTGCCTCCCGGGTTTAACAATTCCTCTGCCTCAACCCTGAGTAGCTGGGATTACAGGCGCCTGCCACCACGCCTGGCCAATTTTTGTATCTTTAGTAGAGACGGGGTTTCACTATGTTGGCCAGGCTGGTCTCGAACTTCTGACCTTGTGATCCACCTGCCTCAGCCTCCCAAAGTGCTGGGATTACAGGCATGAGCCACTACGTCTGGCCTAAATGTTGGCATTCTTCATGGTTCTTCACTAGGTCTCTTCTTACACTACACTTTCTCAATCAAAAGATCTCATTTTATTCCTGTGGCTTTGGTGTCATCCACATGTGAATGACTCTCAAATTTCTACTTCTAAAAGCTCCAGCTCTCTCCTGATTTATAAGAAGCAGTTATATCCAACTGTCTGTAGGACATCTTTATCTAGATATCTTGCAGGCCCTCTAAATTCAGTATTTCCCAAGTTGAACTTATCCTGTTCTCTATTCCGGCAAACTTGCTTTTCCTTCCAGAATATCTACCGAACAAGGCCCTACTTTTCTCCCAGTGGCTAATGCCAGCTGAGCATCATTTTGGCTGCTCCTTCTACTTTGTCTCTTATAACCAATGAAGTAGCAAGGTAGCGATTCTACCTCTGAAAAATAATTTAACCTAGTCACTTCTCTTCATTGCTATTGCCACTACCCTAAACTAGGCCATTATTTTGCTTAGATTATTGTAAAAACCACCTAATGAGTCCCTTTGCATTGCTATTGCCACTACCCTAAACTAGGCCATTATTTTGCTTAGATTATTGTAAAAACCACCTAATGAGTCCCTTTGTTCCTATTCTATCATCCTTTAATCCCTTTTCTACATTGCAGTCAGAGTGACCTTTATAAAATACAATTTTGATCATGTCACTGTTAAAACCTTTCATTGGTTTCTCAGTACTTTCATGATAAAGTCTAATTCCTTAAAATAGCAAATAGGTCTGCATGATCCAGCTCCTACTTGCCTCTTCAGCCTCATCTCTCTCTATTCCTTTACTTGTAATTGAACTCTAGACATACTGTGTTACTAAGAAAGAGATTCTTTAAAGATCTCTCTCTCTCTCTCTTTACTATCTCTGGACCTTTGTATAATCTCTATGCCTGGAATATTTAGCTATCCCTTCCTACTATAATTCTGGTGCCTGCCCCTCCATCCTTGGCTTATCCTTCAGGTCTCAATCACATCTATTAGGAATCCTTTCTTGGTCTATCAAATGTTGATTGAGCATATTTTCTATCTAAACTTAAGTGTGTTGTACTTCTGTCACAGAATCACTCATCACACTACACTAAAAAAGCATATTGACTTATTTGTATTTCTTACTCAACTACAAATTCTATGATTGGGAATAAGACTGTCTTATTCATCACTATATCTTAGCACTTTGGCATATTCTTGGTGCTCAATGAAGATGAAAGGAAAGAAGAAAGATTTAGAAAAAAAGGAAGGAAGAAAGAAGAGAAGAAGGACTATGAATAATGGTAATATTCTTAGTCAAACCCACAAGTAATTCTAAAGTACACTGTGGATACCTACCTAATTGATAGACAGAATAAAGAATAGTTATATACATTTAATTACAGAACAAAGGGAAAAATGTTATTAAAATTAACCTTCAGACGTTTAACTGGAGGAACAGATGAAACAGCGTTCCTGTTTCTTAAATCAGATAAATATGAAGAAATTGTTGACTCTTTAATTTCTGACTTCTGTGCAACTCCAATTTTACCTATGAAAAGAAACTTCAGATTCTTAAGTTAAACTTCAGATCTTATTCTTATAAAGTCAAATTTCTTTAAAATTTTAAATCTAGTATTTACTTTTTTCATGTTGCCCACAAAAGAGAGAAAATTGAGTTATTACATTGCATACTATAAATATCATACACAGATAATTAGGATATCATTACTATCCACCAAAAACCTTTCAATTTTGAACACTTGAAATAAACTTGTTTTAAGGAACTCACAGCAGTCATGTCCACATGTATGTTTACTTTTACAAGGATGATTGCATTCTCGGTTCCCAGGTTTTTTGCTGGCAGTCATTCCTAAATTAATATAGGAAAAACAAACCTATTTGTCACTGCATTTATTATTGTTAATTTAATTAATTTTTATCCAGTTTCCTTCCTTTCAGACAATACAAAAATATTCATTTGTATATTTCCTCAAGTGTTTTGTAATCCACGTAATTTCTTTTTTAATAAAGAGATGGGGTCTTGCTATGTTGCCTAGGCTGGAGTGCCGTGGCTATTCACAGGCACCATAATTAGTACTACAGCCTCAATCTCCTGGGCTCAAAAGATCCTCCTGTTTCAGTCTTCCAAGTAACTGGGACTACAGGCACTTACCACCATGCCTGGTAATTTTTAAAACATATTTTCGATAAGTTAGTCCCTGCCCCACTATTAGTCCCAACAAGAAACATCGAGCCACCTACAAGCTTCCCTCGACCTCCCTGGTGTGTATGACCTCCCTGGTGTGTGCGTGTCTATATATATATATGTGTCTGTGTGTGTGTCTACATATATAGATGTGTGTGTCTATATATATGTCCATATAGTGTATATATATGTCTATATAATCTAATACTATATATATAATTTAATACTCTCAACCTCCATGGTATATATTTTATATGTGTGTGTATATATACAACATATATTATATATATATAAAAAACAGGGCCAAATATGGCCACATAACAGTAACTTATATACTAAATGAGGTAAGAATGAGGGTGGAGTTTAAAAACACTTCTGCTGCTTTGTACTTAAGCCTGAATAACCTGGAAAGAAGAAAACGTCATGGCATTTTGATGGTACTGCTGACAGAAGTTAGTAAACAGGATATAATACATATTTAATAAATATTAGAAATAAATACTTTAGGGATCTCAGAAATTTGCTATATGAATTCACAGAAAAGAGAGATTGTTTCCATCTTGACTCTTCTAAGTTAGAATATATCCAAATATATAATTTATTCTTCATTTATTATATTTTAAATCAGCTTTTTCCTGATCTTAGCTCTCACTAGTAGCACAGGGAAGGAGAGAGATGTTTGAACTGGTCCTTGAAGGACAGACAGAAATATGAACATGAGAATGAGACTAAGGGAAGACATTCCAGATGGAGGGCATAATACCCAAAGGCAGCAAATCACAGACTGTAAGAGCTGAAATCAGCTTATTTTTGCTGGAGCATAGATTTAAAATGAACCAGAAATGTTGGAGATAGTGGAGAGCTTGAAAACCTTTACAACATTTCTTGGTCCTTTACTCTTCATTTTCGGTACCATTGTTCAATCAAGCTTTTCCAAGTCATGGCACATCTAGACAGTGATAATATACATATTGCAGCCTAGGGTAAATGGATGAGGCTGCTCAACATAGGAGGCAATGGCTGGTCTTTAGGGCTGAACAGATCAATGTATTGGGTACTGATAAAGTAAAAAGAAAACACCTGGCGGCTGGAAGCTGACAGCTAAACCACGGTATTCCCAATTGAGCAAACAATTTTGAGAATATAAATACCCAGATAAGGCCACTCTGTGACCATAGTAGAAGAAGACAGAGATAAGACTACCATGTAAGTATTTCTGAAACTAGAGAAAAGAACCATCAAGAACCGTAAAAAATAATGAAACATCCCCCTCTTCTGGCTAACACAGATGACTACTATTTTTTAAATCCTCTCTCTTCCAAAATAAAATGTACCAAAATACCCAATATCTCACTTCCTGAGGGCATCCAATCTAGAACTGACCTCTGCTTTCCCTAAACCTTCCCAAGAGTCACCCAGCACAAGCTGAAATCCTATAATAAGATTCTGAAATCCTGTAAGAGGAAAATCCTCCCGGCTCCCTGAGATGACCCACAGTTCTGTTGCTATGGATCTCTCCTTTGCTGCAGTACATTAAATAGACCTAACGTTTCTCAGACACAAGTGTGTTCCTCTTAGGCACTGACTGAAAGGCTTTGACATTAAACTTTGTAAGGTGTGTCATGACTTACTGCTTCAGGTGTTTTGTCCCAAGTTATGATCCCGTTACCTCTCACTTAGATCAAAACTGGTTTCTTTGAATCCAGTCCTCCATGCTACAATTTATTCTATACATTGTTGCTTATTTAATGCTTTTAAAGTTCAATGCTGATCAGATCAATTTGCCCACTTAGAAACATGAGTTACTTCCTACTGCAAACAAAATCAATTCCATCTTCAAGGTCCTGCACGATCCAATTCCAGCTTCCCTTCCTGGGACCCTACATCCATCAAAACACATTCAACTGCCATTCTTCAAACAGTCCCATGCCTTTCTATAACTGTAGCTTTGATACTATCTCTTGTCTTAGAAGACCCTCACTTCCTTGCCCAACAGATGCCTACCAACCTGCAAGTCTGACTCAAATGGGACCTCTGTGTTGGAGGTCTATGGTGATCACCTGATCTGATTTCCCTCTCCTTTGGGCCCCTGTGGCATTTTCTCTGTGCTTATTGCTTACTGTATGCTGCATTATATTTAATGTATTTACAGAAAAAACATAGTGGTGAAGTACAGGGAACACTAAAATAGAATTTAAAATGAGCTCTAATATAGGCTCTTATTTGAGAAAAAAGATTTAAAATAATATCTGTTCTGTTTATCTCACAGAGATGTAGAAATAAAATGTAATTAAGTACGTAAAAACATTTGACAATTAAGCGATAAATATATTAATGTATGTATTATCCCCACTATCTCTACTATTACATCAATTCAAGATTATACAAATAAATTTAAAACTAAAATTGTTCTGAATGCTGTGAAGGAGAGGTACATCATGCTATGTGACAAGAGGTAGAGCTGTTCTGGTCAGGAATGTTGGGCTGAGTATCGAAGAAAGAAGGGAAGTTAAGAAGGCAAAGAATGAGGAGAAAGTGGGGTTCAGGCAGAGGGCACACCATATGCTAAAGCTCTATGACAAGGAAAAGCATGGCACATTGGAGAAACTGAAAGGTCAGTATGACTGATGCTAGCAAATATGAGAAAGTACATAAGATGAGACTATAGTGGTAGTAAAGGCAGCCTATGTTAGCAGGGGAACAGTTCCACCATGGCACCATGGCAATTGCATGTCTCCATATAGGCCATGTAGGTAAGACTCAACTGTTGGCAGAATGCCCTGGGATCACCCTTAAAAATGGCAAGATAGGCAGTCTTGTGAGGAGCTATCAAAGGCCATTTCACATTTGCTCCATACCTTGCAGAAAACCCCCGATCTTGCAGAAGACTTGCCATGAGGCAGTTTCTCATCTGCCTCCCTGATTCCACTAAGGCATGGAACTTTCCACTTTGTCCCTTTCAGATAAAACTGCTTAGCTGCAGCCTAGAGTTCACTTCTCAAAAACAAAGCAACTCACCACTCATGTTGTCTGTCATCTGACCCCTCTAGTTTGGTATCATCCTGTGGAATTGGGGATATAAGCAGCTAATACCATGCTGATCTTGCTTTGCCATCTGTGTAAGTAATAAAACTGTTTAAATCCATTAGGGTGTCCTTACCAGCCAAATCTACAAAAGTGAGGCAAGACTACATAGCAGCTACCACTGCATTGCTACTTAGGGACTGGCTGACCATGTGACCATATAGAACCTTCTAGGGGATGCTAATGATTTAGATTCGAAGAGCTATGGGAAGCCACTGAAGTGTGTTAACCAAAGAGGGGGCATAATCAGATTTGCATTTTGAAAAAAAATCACTATGTAGAGTGTAATATGGAGAATAGATTTGAGATAAGACAGAAAGGATGCAAAAAAACCAGTAGAGGTCTAAGCAGAAATGACGGTAACTCCAGAGTGGTGGTGGAGGTAGAGTTACAGAGAATAGACTGATGTGAGATATAGAGAAGGTAAAAATATTTTTAAAGCAGAATCAAGTGGAATGATTTTCTTTCTCGAGCAGCATATTGCTTCCCCTCAAGTTTTGCAGCTTTCCTATTAGTCTAGCAATATCTACCTTGTTTGTTTAAGTTCACTCAATAGTTCAAGGGTAAAAGCAAATACATGGGAATGCCTCATCCATTTATTCCCCCCTCACAGATGCCTCCTTCCTTGAGCCCTCTATCTGCCTCCTAATGCAATCTAGACCTGCCCTGTAACTGTCATCTTTGAACTTTCTTTCATTAAGTTCCTGGGTTGAATCTACTACAAATGGATTCTTGGGCTTTTTCTTTCTCGTTTTACTGGTGATCAGTTTCAAGCAACTGCCTAAGAAAGGATGTGTGAGAATAAAATTGTCTGAATCTTTGAATGTATTAAGGTTATCTTTATATTACTTTCATACTTAGTAGTTTGGCTGGGCATAGAACATAAAGTTGAAAATCATTTTTCCCTTGGAATTTTATTTTTTATTACTAGTTTTGGGGACAGGGTCTCACTCTGTCACCCAGGCTGGAGTGCAGGTGTGAGATCACAGCTCACCGCAGCCTTGAACTCTTGGGCTCAAGCAATCCTGCCTTCTCATCCTTCCAAGTAGCTGGGATTACAGGCACAAACCACTGCACCTGGCTTCCCCCTGGAATTTTAAATCAATTGACTTTTAGCCTCCAACTTTGCTCACAAAAAGACTATTGCAATTTTTTATTTTTGTTCTTTGTAAGCATTTACAATTTTATCTTTCTCCACAATGTTCTGAAATATCGCAATTATGCTTTATTTGTAGACCTTTCATTCAGCCTAACTAGCATTAAGTAAGCCTTTTTAATGTGAAGATTTCTGTCTCACTTCAGTTCTAAAAAGTTTTCTCAAATTATTTCTTCTGATTTGTTTGTTCTTTCTTCAACACTTACAAGTTGGATACTGGGCTCTTAAATTGCCTCCTTTTTCTCTTACATTTTCTATCTCCTTGACTTTTTGCTTTCAGTGAGAAGGTATTGACTTTATCTTCAAGCCCTCCAGTTTTCTTTCCAAACATAATTTTTGCTTCTCTGTGCTTGCCTTGGTTCTTTTTATTTTAAAATGGCATCCTATTCAGTCTTGTGGCTGCAATTTAATCTTTAATTTCTCT